CCAGGGAGCTGGAATTAACTAGATGGCAGTAGGCATTAGCTTAGCAAATTTGAGGGCTTTACCTCAGTTAATCCCTGTGACAAGCTGGACCTCCTGCTGTGGTCCCATTAGCAAAGAGGCTGAGGTCCTCAGGCTTGAAGGGGGTTTGCCGAAGTCTCTAGGGCCAGCTTTGCTGATCCTTACTGGGTGCTCCAGCCTGGCTTTCTTTGCACCTTCTCTTTTGTGCTTGAAGCTGGTGGCAGAGCGGAGGCCTGGGAGAGCCCCTAAGGATGAGAGGGGAGCAGGCTGAGGGGGAGAAGAGAGAGCATATGGACTTCATGTTAGCTTGCTCCCCACACCCAGGAACCCCACGTAGCAATCACGCCTGCCGTTTGTTGGGGTGTCTCCCAAGCCCCCAGTCTGCGTGCTTGGTGCTTTAAGTGAGTCATCTCGTGTGTGTTCACATGATCCCTCGGCGGGGTAATATTCACAGAGGAGTCACACTGCACCAGCGGGTAGTGACAGTCCTATTTTGCAGATGAGGAAACTGAGGCCCGGGGATTCCAAAGATCCCCCTCCGACGTCTACAGTGGGGTCGGGATGCTTCCGAAGGCTCGCTCACTGCTCGGGAATGCAGAGGCAGGGTCCCCAGGGAATTGGGTGGGGGGGGGCGCCGGGAGCAGGGGGCGGGACTGAGCTGCATCTCCCGCCACCATGGCCGCCCTGACGGCGCCTCTCCACGCCCCTCTCCCCGCTACAGGCCCTTCCTCGTGCTGCCGCCGCTGATGGAATGGATCCGGGTGGCCGTGGCGCACGCCGGCCACCGCCGCAGCTTCTCCATGGACAGCGACGATGTCCGCCAGGCCGCCCGGCTGCTGCTGCCAGGCGTGGACTGCGAGCCGCGCCAGGTTCCCACAGAAGGAGCGCTGTGAGCCCTCTGGTATGGTTTCCAGCAGAGATGGACACCAGGGACCAAAACAAGCTCCGGCCACAGGAGCCAGTAGAATTCAATTCCATTTCAAGTCAGT